CTTTATACTTGGCCATTAAAGTATTGGTATTGGTATTGGTATTAATTTATTGATATTACTGCTTTTATACTTTTAACCAGTTGGAGCCTGCACAAAGTTTTTTGAGTTGGGAATCCTATAAAAACTTAAATACATACATAAATGTGTAAAGCAAACCAGAAAAAACTGTGATCTATGCATCCACATTAAGATAATAATAAAGATAATGTGGATACAAAAACATTAACTGCAACAATAGCTACCAGATTACAGAAAGTAATACCATCTATAATCCACCCATTTCAGTCTAGATTTATAAAAAAAAATAGATAAGCATCTGACAGTATCTGTCTGGTGATTGATATTTTGGATATTGCAGCAAAGAAATTGGGATCAGCTGCTCTAATTTCAATGGATACTGAAAAGGCCTTTGATATGGTTCAATGAGTTTATCTAAGAAAATATGGGTTTCAATTTGGCATCTTCATTCAGTGGCTAATGTTATTACAAATGATTTGCCTCTCAACCTATCAAATTATATCATGGCATCTGTCAGGGATTCCCTTTGCCTTTTAATCTTTAAAATGATTCTTGAACTTTTGGTTTCTTCTATTAGACAGTCACAAAACAATAAGGGTGTATGGTGGCATTTGATAGGTAATATAAACTTTATTTATTTATTTATTTATTTATAACATTTATATAGCTGCCTATCTTACAACAACTATGGGTGGCTTAAACCAATAAAACAGTATAAAACCAACAGCAATAACAGAAAAACTGGTTCCACGGCCACACTTCTCCCTAATACACCCACATTCTCATCCCACCCTGGCCTCAGCCCTATTCCAACGTCTGGGGGAAGAGACAGGTTTTAAGTGCTCTCCAGAAGGATAGAGTGGTAGGGGCTATTGGATATTGGGGGAAAGTGTCCCACAGGGCAGGGGCTACAATGGAAAAGACATGCTTCTGAGGACCCACAAAATGGCAATGTTTAAGGGAAGGGACCTGGAGCATGCCCATCCTATCCTCTCTGGTGGGATGGACAGATGTCCTCAGGGAGAGGCAGACCTGCAGATGTCCTGGTCCCATGCCATGCAGGGCTTCACCAGCACCTTTAATTGCACCAAGAAGAAAACTGGGAGCCAGTGCAGCTCACACAACAGAGGTGTAATATGTGTGAATCTAGGGATGCCCAACACTATATGTGCTGCTGCATTCTGGATTAGTTGTAACTTCTGAGTGGTCTTCAAGGGCAGACACTTCAAGGTGTCATCTGCTGGCAGGAAAAAAACATCAATCATTGTCCCTGATGTGGGATGGGGTGGGGCAGGGCAGGATGAATGCAGGTGAGTGCTTTGAATACCATGATTAGTCACCAATCAAGTTGCCTGACTTGATAGTTGCAGGCACAGAGGTGCTCCATGTCTTTGTTCACTCAGGCAGTTTCTGAACTCCAGTAGTAGAGAGTATTTCTTATTTCTGAACTTTGGTCTAATGTTGTTATGAAAGAACATTCAACCCATGTCCAAAAATAGTCCAACTGATAGGCCACTGGAGCAGTGAAGGGACACAGACTGAAGTGGAAGGGCTAGCAGCTACATATTCAGTGAAGTATGCTAGATCACATCTGTAGCAAAAATTGGAAGAGGAAAGACAACAGATGACTTTAAACTGTCATTGCTGTGCACTGAGGATGAAAAGAAAGAGAAACATGAGAACATGGTATAAAAAGCCAGTTCATGCTATGATTATAGGGGCTGAGGATGAATACTCAGCCCTTAGCAGATTTTAGTACTCAAGTTAGATATGCATTAAGAGCTCCAGCATGTACTGAAAAGAAGGCGTCAAGTGATGACTGGAGGGACCTCAAGACTAAAGGAACCCAGCAGCAGCACAGAGTATACAGGCTCTACCCCTTGGCCAGTCTCTCCCATTAGTTGTCAACTGATCTTGTCACTTAACTAAGGAGATAGTGGAGAGCAGGATGCAAAAGTACACAGCTAGGGGCAACTGCAGCGGCAACACCCACTTTCTCCCTTTTGACAGCCAAGATGTTAACAAATCTACTGATTGTATCAGCTAGAAAATTTCTAAGGCACATAAAGTGGAATTATCTGAACCAGTCTCTCCTCCATTTCTGCATACTAACCTACAACTATCCACTTTGGCTTTTATTACAGTAACTTATATAGTGATTTTATGTATTTTATTTATTTTATTTTATTTATTTTAAGCCACCTAGAGTGGTAAAAGTGAGATGGGCGGCTCTATAAATTAAATAAAGAAATAAATAAACTAACCAGTACAACAGAAAAAGGCAAATAAATAAAACACAGTAATTTGCACAATGGGACCAGATAGAGGATAGAAAATGAAATATAACCAGAAAAGGGACATGTCAATTGACATTCATAACTTATAAGTGATCTATTATAGTCCCATATTAAGACTGCTAGTTAAGATAACCAAGGAGAAATTATTCAGCCCTTAATTCAATTCTTCATACTATCAAGGAAAATTTGGCTACATTTGGAATCCTGGTAAAAATAATAGACATACAATCCTCTGGTCATCAAGGAAATAACAAGCTTTTAAACCTATTACAGAAATCTCAGTAAAACTCAAAATATAGCAGGACCCGAATGAGGAATTCAGCTCATCTAACCAGGTAATGATCTCCTTATAAGGGAATACATTCATTCCATCCCCTTGCCACCCTTCTCCTTTCCAGAACAGAAAAACCACATGAAGAGTCTGTCAAAATATTTAGGGCCACATCTGAAAAAAGTTGACATTGTGACAGCCGTAAAATCCTGAATAAAACCTGACAGTGAAGCATGAATGATGGAGTCCTACAGAAGTTTTGAATGTCATCCCTAAATCCATCTCTGCTCATTCAAGAATCAGAGTGGCTGACACACCAAAAGCTCCCGATCCAGTCATGGCACTTCTTCTCAGACCTGCCTGAACTCCTAGCCCCACTTCCTTTCCACTGAGGACACACACACAGACACCCCTCTTTAAATTTTGCTGCTGTCACAGGATTTACAATTTCTGAATTAAGATCTTGGAGGAATACTTTCAAATTTCTCTACAGATGTTATCTTTCCAGGATTATCAGCTTTCAGAAATGTTAGAACTAGGTTTTGCTTCTGGAATGAAAAGTAAGAATGGTATAAAGACTCTTTGGGAAATAATCCAGCAGACTTCTCTGTTTTCAGTAAGAAGGATGATAATTCCTGGAACACCCCTAATGCTTCTACTTGGCACTCCCAATCTGAAGGCCCAACTCTAAATGACAGCAGCAACATCAGCAGCAGTTCTCAGAGGCAAAGATATGCCTGCCATTAAATGAATAGCATTAATATCAGTTGGTGAGGTAGGCAGTAACAAAGTCCAGCCTGAATAGTTGATGGGAAGAGAGATCAGTTCTTTGCAGGAGAACAGGAGCTAAAAATAATGGTTTGCTATAGGAAGGGAGACAAGAGTTCATTTTCCTCTGCTCCTCTGCCCCTGCTACATGTACATCCCCTTTTGATTTATAAGGAATTGAGAGCAACCAGGCGACTCCTAACTTACCCCCAGTAAGTTTTAACCATCTGCTAAATCAAAATAGGAATGACTAAATTTCAAGCTGAACAATGGCTCACAGAAGATAAATACAGAACATTAGTTTATGTATATTTTCTTAAACTGCAAGCCACCTCTAAAGCCACAGGACAGGTATTGTAGCCTAGAAATGACTTATAATTAGGTGGAACATCTGAACCAAATGGCATCCCCCTCAAACCTTCTCAAAATAGCAAACCCCTTTGCTGACATGGCTGCTTCTACTTTGGAGAAGCATTTAATGGAGATTTTCCTCCATAAAATGAATGATAATGAAAGCATCTCATTTAAATACCCTTTAAGGTTGATGGGTCTGTTTTTTGTAGAATGAATAATACAATAGAGTATTTGCAGGAAAATTGCTTGTGTATTCTGACTGATGACTGCCAGTTTTCTGCATAAGGAAGCTTCTTTCTCCATGCCTTCTTCCCCACCCTCTGCTTTCCCTTTCTCTCACTCAGAGGCAAAGCAGAGTGCCAGCAGTCCATCAATCGTGTCATATCTTTCCTTTTTATTCATTGCAGGATCTATTAATAGCTTTAAACAACTGCTTCCTAAAAATGGAGTTCTGAATGACACAGAAGCTGGGCTGAGCTATGTAAGGTATCCAGGGTTTGGTCTCTCAGCTTCTATTTTTTTGCCTTTGTCTTCAAACAAGGGTTACTTGCTTGCTGCAGATGCTTCCTGGTGACCTGAATACATCTAGATCAATTCACTGGAAAAGCGTGGGGATCAAACCAGTGCACAAAGAGTCCTGCATCTCTCCAGGCTTTTCTCTTAGATATTCCTTTCCTTCTCCCAGATAAACCCACAGAAGCATAGCAATATGAAGGCAGCTTGCTGGTTCCTGGCAGTTTTTTATGTACTTGTCTGCTACAGGGCTGAAGAAGGACTGGACTTCCCTACCTATGATGGGAAAGATCGTGTGGTCGACTTGAGTGAGAAAAACTACAAGCAGGCCTTGAAGAAGTACGACATGTTTGGTGTGCTGCTCCACGAACCAGTGACTTCCGACAAAAGCTCTCAAAGACGGTTTCAAATGATTGAGATGGTGCTGGAGGTAATTATTTATGTAATTGTTTATGTAGGTTTATGTAATTGTTAATCTACCACTATTGGCTCTTTATAGGCATTGAATAGTTTGGGGCCTAAATGGGAGCAGGATACAGATCTTCAAATGGGTATTTGAGAAAAGTATTAATGCAGACTTAAATCATCAGCCTAATCTTTGACAGACTAAGTTTCTTGCCAATTAATTTCTAAATCTTAACAATGCTTTTAAGAGTAAAACTCTGCTTCTGGAACTATACAGTTCCATTTATTTTAAGCAAATGTTTTCCTTTAATCCATATATTGGATTCAGTCACTCGTCTGCTCATCAGGAACTAAACGGGAAAGCATTTAATAAGCCAAGTTGAAAGAACTTCAGATTCCTTGTCTTTGCAGCTTGTTTTTTTATTGTAAGTATTCATTTCTGAGCCAAAAAACTGATTAATATTCTAGGGATGAAATGGTTCCAATATCAATGAAGCTAATCTAATAAAATGAAATACTATAGCTACCAGAAGTATCCTAGAAGGAGCAGCTAACTACAGTTGAGGGAGAAATATTTTTCACAGACTGTCAATGGGAAGAAAGAGAAACAACAGCTACTCAGATAATAATTGCTGTGCAGATCCACAGAATCATATTACTATCTGGAGAAGCTATTTTTGTCTATAGCAACGTGTTTTCAGAATAAGCAAGTACAGAGAACCATCCCACAGGATATAGGCATCTTCTCTGTATCCTATGCTCTGTGGCTAAAACTCACAATTGGGTCTCATTTGAGTACAATGCCTTCTAGATCTTGTAAGACATGCTAATAGAGTCTTGTATGATTAGAGAATTTTGCATAGTTATTCAAGTAGTCCTCACTGAATCTAAAGCTAACAGATTAATAAGCAGTACTTTCCAAATATGAGATGAGTACTAGCCACAAGGAGAGCCAGCTTATGGTTCACTATCATTTGTTGCGTGAGAGAAATACCCAGAGACAATCTCTGTCTAGCTACCCAAAAACTCCATTCACACAACAATTCACCTTTAAAGGTTGGGTTCTGGCAGCAGAGGAACCACTGTAGAGCAGCTTTTCCCCATACTGCCAAGGCAGCGTGAGAAATCATAACCCATATAGGAAAAGTCAATTCTTCAGTGTCTCTCTTTATCAGCAATAATACCGAGAGCAAATACCAGAATGAGAAGATATGCAACATCTGTGATCCATCTCTGTGATTTGGTGCTTTTTTTATTACCTGAGAAAGAATGATACTGTAGCCATCCCTTTGCCAGTAAGGCAATGTAAAAATGAGACCAAAAGGTACCTGGGTTGTGAACACCATTCATGATAATGAGCTGTATGTGGCAAGGTTCTCAGAAATTATAACAGCATGTTGGTGGCACACTTTAAACTGTCACAGTTTGTCTCTGGGCCTTGTTTGACCCATCAAAAAAAAGGGAGCAAGAAAGCAAAATGCAAGTCCTTGCATAATGATATCATTTACTCTATCACTACTGGCCAAACAGAATTTGCTAGTCTACTGATAGGTACTATCTGCTCTTGAGAATAGGCTTTTGTTCCTCAGATCTGGATATTCTCTAATATGTCACTACTGAAATTAGGGACACACTTATGGCAGTCCTGTTTTAAGCACTAGGACCTACCTTTTCTCCATCATCATTCCATTTTGCTACAAATTTTATCCCCATCTGTGATATGCTACATTAGTTTCTCCTTGAAACAATCTGTCTTCCACTGAGCAGGTTTTGGGGTTTGGACTAGAAAAAATACAAAGTATACCTTGCAGCTGCACATTTTTTAAATTGTACCTTAGAGTTCCTGTACATGCATTTATGTGTTATGCACATTAGAGAAAATATGCATCATTTCCCCTCAGTGAAACAGAAACTCTTTCCACTCATGATCACTTCCACGTGAGATTTCTGTGGCAGTGTGAAAGCAGTTCTGTTATGTTCCCACAAAGGTCTCTTAATTATGCAATTCAAGATTACCATTGCTTTTGCATGTCCCTATCATGCCACACCACTTCAAGAGTTCTTTACAAGCTGAACCAATGAACTTTTGAAGTTAATCAACTCAACTGCTACTACTCTGTAGCTGCACTGGGGCATTTCCCATTGGGGGGAATTCCTGTCTTGTCCAGCTTTGGCTCCTGGAGCCTCCCCCCCCCCCACTTCTAAAGCAAAGCATCCATGGTGCCTTACCATCATTCCCTCATTGCTTGCTGGCTGCCCTGATTGGTGGCTTTATCAGCATAGTGTTGAGGGTAGAGGGTGGGGGTTGACTATTTGCCTTTTTTGGCCCACATTTTTTTCCTTATTGCTAAGAACAAATTTGGCAAAGGAAGAACAAGGAAGGGGCAGCACAGCAGCTAGCTGCCATTTTAACACTCCCCCATTGGACAGCTTTAGAGAGTGTCGGCCAATGGAAGGGGAGAAGGAGGCAAGGAATGCTGCACAATGGCACAGAAATGGTACAGATGGTTTGTGGGGCAAACCTGGGAGTCATGCAGTTGTGTGTTCAGCTGCATGGTATAGTTGAAACTACCGAGAAGCTAGAAGTTCTTTTCTTTTTGTTTTGTCATGTAAATGCTACTGTATTTCCCATGGGGAGGAATTTTTGCCTTATCCTTTCTCCTGGCTCCTGAGTTTTAGGTCCTTTAAGAGAAACACTAGCTTGACAGCTGGGCAGGTTCCTACAGCAGTCCAGATGAAATGAAGACAGCTGAAACTGACATGAGCTTTGTTTATTTCTTGCTTTTCTTCAGCAACATGTATAAAGTGTCAGGCTATGGAATATTTTTCTTCTTTTCCCTTTTCTTTTGTGTACAGTGACAGTGAGGGATTTTGTTCCTGAAGTATCTGCAGAAACTTGATCCAGAATAGTATTCTTTGCTCCTTGTTCTCAGCATTTCAAGTTATTAGAGGTGAAGAGGGTTTGGGAACTGAAAATGGTGGTACTGCCTCACATTAATAAAACCTTTCTACAGGCACAGGTGTTTGTATCCAGATAAAAATATTATTCATTTGGAGCTTTTTGGATGTTGTTTCTTTTCTTCTTCTTTCCTTATTAAGGTAAATCTGCTAAGGAGAAAAGAACAAAATCACTGCCTATCAGTAGCTCTTTGAGTCCTAGACACATCAAGGCATCTTAACAGATGAAAAAATAATGGAGTAGTAAAATATACAAATTCATTACGCCTAAGAGATTTAATGATGTTAGTGATAGGGCTGATTTAATTGTTTGTGGCGAGTCATTATATTTTCAATATGGTGACATATGGACTGGAGGAACAAACACATTCATGTTCTTTTCTTTTTTTTTTTTGTTCATTGGGAGGCAGCCATGACTGCTAGTTCTCTACAGGACACCCACACTTTATCTGGTTACTTCTCTAACAGGAGAAAGATTTTTCAACTCATGCCATAGGAATCTGAGACATACAATGGTGGACTAGTTTGAATGCTGATTGTCTCTTGGAGCATCTCATAAAAGGTTTCATATGACCTGGCTGGATCATATTTTTATTTGGACGGAGTGTTCCTAATTTTAGTGACCTTAACCAAAGAGCTGTGTTTCAGCTTTGTGAACTTTCGACCTCTTCCTTAAGCTTCATTCCCAAAGCCTGTTATGGATATGCTTTAAAAAAAAACTAAAAAAAAAAAACTAATACAAACTAAGGAAGATATAAAAAGTAAACATAAAAAATAAAAAGTGCAAAAAAACATTAAAAAAGAAAAAATAGTAAAGAAAGAAGATATATAAAGAAATGACTTCCCCCTTCAT